AGTTTCATGTCACCAGATGGAAACTAAGTGTTTAATTCCCAGTGCAGTTTGGCTGGCATGGTAAAGACATCCTCTGCGCTAGGCATTATGGTGCAGGCCTGTAATCCCAGACTCTGTGGTTAAGAGCCCTGGGTTCAATCCCTGGTACCAATAAAATAAACTAAAAGACATCCTTCTGCTTTACTATTTACAAGGATAGGAATCTGAATAACCTAATGGTAACCAATTTGTGTGTGTGTGTGTGTATTACTGGTAATTGAACCCAGGGAAGTTTAACCACTGAGCCACATCCCCATCCTTTTTTTTTTTTTTTTTAGTTGTTGAAAGAACTCTAGGGCTGGGATTGTGGCTCAGTGGTGGAGCGCTCGCCTAGCACGGGCAGGACCCAGGTTTGATCCTCAGCACCACATAAAAAATAAAAAGCATTGTATTGTGTCCATCTACACCTAAAAAATAAATATTAAAAAAACTCTATTTTTATTCATTTGTGTGTGGTGCAGAGAATTGAACCCAGTACCTCACACATGCTAGGCAAGTGCTCTACCAATGAGCTACAACCCCAGCCCAAGCCCCAGCCCTTTTTATGTTTCATTTATTTATTTATTTGTGTGTGGGGGGGCACTACCAGGGATGTTTTTTATGTTTTATTTTGAGACAGGGTCTCCCTAAGTTGCTGAGCCTGGCCTTGAACTCGCAATCCTCCTCTCACTTCTCTGATTTGCTGATATTATAGGTGTGTATCACTGCACCGAGCTAGATCTTTAAACTAAATTTGTTGTTATTCTGTCTTTTGGCAATTCAAAAAATTTCATTTTTAGCAAGATGAAAAGATTCTGGAGATTAGTTGCACAATGATGGATGTGAATATCCTTAACAGTACTCAACTGTGCACTTAGAAATGATTAAGATGGTACATTTTATGTGTGTTCAAAAGAAAACTATCCTGAAACCTAGTGGCTTGGAATAACAACGATTATTTTAATATCCCTCACAGTACCTGTGGGCCAGAAATTCAGGAAGGGCTCAGCTGGCTGGTTCTGGCATAGGACATCTCATGGGGTTGCAGAACACATGTCTAGAAAAAAAATTGCGGATGGTTGAAGAATTGGGGGCTGGGTAGGCATCTATCTGTGTTCAGGCTGGCTTCTCCCTTCACCATGGCCGCAGGGCAGTTGGACTGCTTCTCTGGCAACTTAGGGTCAAATTCAAGAGTTTCCACAGCAGGTGGAAGTGAATTTCCACTTTGATGACTGAGCTCAGAATTTAAGTAATGTCTCTCTGTCATGTTCTTATGGTCAAAGTTGTCATCAAAGGCCTGTAATCCCATCCACTAGAGAGGCCAAGGCAGGAGGATTGCAAGTCTGAAGTCAGCCTCAGCAATTAAGCAAGACCCTTTCTCAAAATAAAAAAATTAAAAGGGCTAAGGATGTGGTTCAATGGTAAAGTGCCCCTAGGTTGAGTTCCCCAGTACCAAGAAAAAAAAAAAAAAGAATAAGCCAATGAATACTTGCCAGACATGTGTGAGCCATCTAAGAAGGGGATCAGTCAGCCCAAGTCAAAGGATAAACTCAGCCCCAGATGACACTTGACTAAATCCTCATGAGAGACCCTAAACCAGAACTGCCCAGCCAGGTTGCTCCTGAACTCCTGATCTACAAAAACTATAAGACATAATAAATGTTTATTTATTTTATTTGTTTGGGTACCAGGGATGGAACCCAGGAGTCTTGATCACTAAGTCACATCCCCAGCCCTTTTTATTTTTATTTTGAGACAGGATCTCACCAAATTGCTTAGGGTGTCCTCGAATGACAGAGGCGCTCAACCACTGAGCCACATCCCTAGCTCGATTTTATATTTTATTTAGAGATAGGGTCTCACTGAGTGGCTCCTAGTGCCTCGCCCTTGTTGAGGCTGGCTTTAAACTAGTGATCCTGATCCTCCCATCTCAGCCTCCCTAGCTGCTGGGATTAAAGGCCTGTGCCACCAAAGGGCCCCAATAAATGTTTATTTTTTAAAGTCCCTACTTTGGTCTTGTTTGTTTTTGGTGCTGGGGATTGAACTCTGGGGGCACTCTACCATTGTGTTACTTCCCCAGCCCTTTGTGTTTTTTATTTTGAGACAGGGTCTTGCTAAATTGCTGAGGCTGACCTTAATTTTTGATCTTCCTGTGCCACTATGCCTGGTTCAAGTCCCTACATTTCCACAAAATTTGTTCCAGGGCAATAATCAATAATGCAGTCATTGGGGGTGGGGATGTGGCTCAAGCAGTAGCATGCTCGCCTGGCATGCGTGCGGCCCGGGTTAGATCCTCAGCACCACATACAAACAAAGATGTTGTGTCCGCCGAAAACTAAGAAATAAATATTCTCTCTCTCTCTCTTTAAAAAAAAATAAAAATAAAAAAAAATAATGCAGTCATTGAACAGATTTTTTTTTAAAATTTTTTTAATATTTATTTTTTAGTTTTTTGGCGGACACAACATCTTTGTTTGTATGTGGTGCTGAGGATCGAACCCAGGCCGCACGCATGCCAGGTGAGTGCGCTACCGTTTGAGCCACATCCCCAGCCCTGAACAGATTTTTGCATGAATGTTTTTGCCAATTTTTTTTTCTAGTGCTGGCGACTGAACTTAGTATATCATGTATATTAGGCAAGTGCTCTACCATGGAGTTGTAAATTCAGCTCCAACTATTTTTTTAGGGGGTTACTGGGGATTGAACTAAGGGGCACTTGACCACTGAGCCACATCCCCAGCCCTATTTTGTATTTTATTTAGAGACAGGGTCTCACTGAGTTGCTCAGTGCCTTGCTTTTGCTGAGGGTGGCTTTGGACTTGCCATCCTCCTGCCTCAGCCTCCTAAGATGCTGGAATTATAGGCGTGCACCACCACACCTGGCTTCAGCCCCCCAAATTTTTAAAAACAAAATATGGCCTTGGATGGATTGCCACTGCCATCTTGAGTTTCCAAGTTCTCGTCTGTACAAGGGGAAGAAATATCCACTATAAGTTCCTTGTTTAGTGGGGCTGGGGATAAAGTTCAGTTGGTAGAGTGCTTGCCTTGTATGCACAAGGCCCTGGGTTTGATCCCCAGCAACCCCTCCCCCCCAAAAAAAAGGTCCTTGTAGCATCTGATGGCCATCTTAAGTGACAGCTGCCATTTTAAGGAAAAAGTTTCCCTTTCCCACCTACGGGCATTTCTGAGAACGGCTCACCACTCCCTCCTACCAACCCAACCTTAACCGCCCCCATTAGGACCCACTTGGCTCTGATTCCTGAGCCTGCCCCATAAACGTCCCAGAACCCAAGCCTGTTTGGCCTCTCTCCCATAGAGAAATGGCCTTTATTGGTCAGCTTTGACAAATAAATTCTCATGTGTATCTCTGCCTGGTCTCCGTCTTTCATTTCTCGTCCCTCATTCCTCCACCTTTGAGGTTCACAGAGTATGTGCCTTAGTGGGCAAAATCAGGACACAGTAGGAGCTTAATATACCACACAGCAGTGTAAATTCCTCAGGAAGCACAAGGGTTAAATGCTCTGAAGCCTGGGCTTGAATCCCAGTTATGAGACTTTGTTTTGGCTACTTACCTTTTCTGGACTTCAGACTACTCAGCTATGAAATTGGAATAAAATTCTATGTAATCTATACTGAGTGAGGTGGCACATGCCTGTAATCCCAGCAATTTGTGAGCCTGAGGCAGGAGGATCACAAATTGGAGGCTAGCCTCAGCAATTTAGTGAGGTCTTGAGCAACTTAATGAGACCCTATCTCAAAATAAAAAGCAAAAAGGGTTGAGGATGTAGCTTTGTGGTAAAGTACTCCTGTTCAGTCCCTAGTTAAACAAACAAAAATTCTTCCTGGTGCAGTGGCACATGCCTGTATCCTAGTGATTTGAGAGGCTGAGGCAGGAGAATTGCGAGTTCAAAGCCAGCCTCAGCAATTCAAAGTCAGCCTCAGCAATTCAAAGTCAGCCTCAGCCACAGTGAGGTGCTAAGCAACTCAGTGAGACCCTGTCTCTAAACAAAATACAAAATAGGGCTGGGGGTGTGGCTCAGTGGTTGAGTGCCCCTGAGTTCAATCCCTTGTACCCACTCTCCCCAAAATTCTAATATTTATAAAGATTACATAGATTACAAAAGCCATTCTAGGGCTGGGGATGTAGCTCAGTGGAAGAGTGCTTGCCTAGCATGTGTGAGTTACTGGCTTCCATCCTTAGCACTGCATAAAAATAAACAAATAAAATAAAGGCATTCTGTCCATCTACATCTAAATAAATAAATAAATAAATGAAAACATTCTAACTTGATGAGGGGGTATCTGTTTTACTGCCTCGTTCGTTCACTGCTATATATGTTGGACAGAGATTAGTGACTGACCCCATAACAGGTCCTGAATAAGTATTTACCTAAATAATAAAAGGGCATCCTGCCTAAGGAAAATACACCCTATCTGTAAAACCACTTACACAGCATTTACATTGCATTATGTGTAATAAGTAATCTGGAGTTATTTAAAATACACTGGAGGATGTGGGTAGATTATATGCAAACACTAGCTCATTTTATATAAGGGATTTGAGTATCTGCAGATTTTGGTATGTGCATGAAGTGGGGGAAGTAATCTCCCACCCATACCCAGGGAAGACTGTATTTTTCTTTAGGTTGTTCTAATAGAGGGCAAAGTTCTACACTTTGTCTATTTTATTCACCACTTTATTTCACAATACCTACAACACTGGGGTTTCTGTGGACGTTCCAGAACTGACTCAAAATTGTCCTCCTTGATCCATAAGTATTTGCACAATTGGACAGCTTCATAAATAACCACGTGGACCTCTCCGTGGGGCCATGAGGCCCGCCATTATTTTGGCCAGGAGGGGTCGGAGTCTCCGTCACGTGACTGCCATTCGCCGGTCTGCCTCGGAGGCTGTGGAGGTCCACGTGGTCCCAGCCTCGGCGGAGGAGGTACTGCGCAGGCGCGATCCCACGGCGCAGGCGCAGACTCGGCTCAGGCGCGCGGCCAGCGGCGGTTGGCTGCTCGCGGGTCGGCGGGCGGTTGGCGAGAGCCGGACCTGAGCTGCAGCTGCTAGAACCGGCGCCATGGTGGAGAAGGAGGAGGCTGGCGGCGGCATCAGTGAGGAGGAGGCGGCGCAGTATGATCGGCAGATCCGCCTGTGGGGATTAGAGGCTCAGAAACGGTCAGGGCCGCTGCGGCTGGAGGCGCCGAGGGTCTGGAGGCGGCGTCCGGTGGGAGGTGTTCCGGGCCGGGAGGCAGCGCGTGCCGCTTTGAAGAGGGAGGGCGGGGTTTACGTGCGTGGGCAGGGGAGCGCTCCCGAGACCCCTGCGGGCGTCGTTTGGTGGTGTTTCTGGAAGGTGTGTGGCCGGGAGATCCCCGAGTGGCTGTTCGGAGGAATCGGAGACTTCTTTTTTTTTTAAAACTTTTTTTTTAAAATTTTTAATATTTATTTTTTAGTTACCGGCGGGCACAACATCTTTGTTTGTATGTGGTGCTGAGGATCGAACCCGGGCCGCACGCATGCCAGGCGAGCGCGCTACCGCTTGAGCCACATCCCCAGCCCCAGAATCGGAGACTTCTGTAGGGGGCGTGGGGAGGTCTTCAGGGAGCTGGATTGGCACTCCGGGAATCGGGCGTCCGGAAGGGGTACGGTGGGCCTTGGCTCGCAGCGGGGGCTTAAGGACCAGAGGGGTCGGGGGTGTGCGGACTGGGTGAAGGGGGCGTAGTTCATTCATTCATGGGAGGGAACCTGTACCTTTGCTCGGCTGGGGGCGCCTTGGCAAGCGGAGCTGAGGGGAGCTTAGGTTCCCGGGGCTCCTCGGGAGCGGGCCGGTCTGAAAGAGTGCCCGATTTGAGGCAAGTTCTCTCAAATGGGAGCCTAGAGAGGGCTTGCAGGTGCCAGAGGTGGTTACTGGTGTCTAGGTGTGACGTGGTCCAGAGCAGACGGGGGGGTGGTTGGTTGGGGTGAGACCTCTGCAGAAGGTCGTCGATTCAATCAAATATTTGCTGAGCGCTCGACGTAGGCACTATTCTGTTCCCTGAGCACATCTCAGTGAACTAAACGGGCTCCTTCCTACATGGAGCTTTTACTTATTTATCTATTTGGTACGCGGGCTCGAACTCAGGGGCTCTTAACCACTGAGCCCGTCCCCAGCCTTTATACTTATTTTGAAGCAGGGTTTCGCTAAGGTGCTTAGGGTCTTAACTACATTGCTGAGGCTGGCCTAGAATTTGAGACTCTCCTGCCTCAGCCTCCCGAGTTGTTGGGATTGCAGGGTGTGCCACCGTGCCTGGTTGGAAGAAGTGTTTTGATAGGGTGGCCAGGGAAGGCCTATGAAAGGCAGGATGTAAGCCTCAGGCTTGTGTGACAGGAAAGAGCCGTATTTGCCCCTGGAAGGGGTGATGGTGGGAAGAGCCTTGCTAGCATGGAAAACAGCAGTCCTCAGGCTTGAACATTGCTTGGCAGATTAGAGAAATAGGGTGATTGGAGCCAAAAGTGTTAAGTAGCTTTTATTCTGAGTTTGCTGGGAAACCTGTTGGAGCGTTTTTTGAGTGGGAGTAATATGATCTATTGTGTATTTTAAAAGGATTACTCTTTGTGGAGAAAAGGTTAAGGAAGGCAGAAGTGGAATTAAAAGATTCCCGTTAGACTGTGGCAATAATCCAGTTAAGAAAAAAAAAAATTGATGCCTGAAACTCTTGAAGGGGTCAGGTATATATTCTGGATATATTTTGAGGGTAAGGGAGGTGTTTGAAGGATTAATCGAGGGGAGAAGGAGAGGCAAAAGTCAAGGATGACTCTAGTGTTTTTGGTCTGAGAACTGGAATGATGGAATTGTGGGGGAAACTAGGCTTCTTGGGGTCAGGGAAGCACCTTTTCTCTTTTAAATTTATGTTTGGGTGCTTGTTATACTGTAGCAGTACATGAGTGGTTGAGTTCAGAGGTGAGGTAGAAGTGATAGGTTATGTGATGTGAGTACAGAGAGTATAGAAGTGAGGTGAGGGATTGGGGAGGCACATAGGTCAGTAGAATTTAGTTTGAGGAGGGTGTACCTTTCAGAAGTGTTTGGTTAAAAAGTTTAATGTGGGGGGTTGGGAGTGAAATGGGAATTACCTCAGGCTTATTTTAGATGTGTGGGGTCTTCTGTGATGGATGAGAACATAATCATTGTAAAACATTAGTGTCACTGGTCAGAGGATTAAAGGCACCTGAAATAGAAGGTTGAGAAATAACTGAGAAGAAAGTGCCTTAAACATAGGTGGTCTTGATTGATTTTTAAGGAATGCTAGTCTCTAAAAGGGGTGGAAGGAGAACTTTTAGTTGGAGGAAACGTTTTTTTTTTTTTTTAATATTTATTTTTTAGTTTTTAGGTTGATATAATATCTTTATATTTATGTGGTGCTGAGGACAGAACACAGTGCCTCAGAGTACTAGGCGAGCACTCTACCACTGAGCCACAACCCCAGCCCCTGGAAGAAACTTTGAGGACATAACCCATTAAATCTATCTGGATTTGAACCAGAGACGCTTTACCACTGAAGTACATCCCCGGCCCTTTTTATTTTTTATTTTGAGACTGTCTTGCTAAGTTATCCAGGCTGGCCTCAAACTTGTAATTCTTCTGACTCAGCCTCCCTGGTCATCAGGTTTACAGGTGTGTGCTGCGATACCCAGATCAGTCGATGGGTTGATTGAATTTGGGGTACTGGGGATTTCTACCAGGGGCAATTTTGCACTGATCTATTCCCAGTCCCCCCCCCCATTTTTACTTCATATTAAAGAAATTTATTGTAAAATATGGTTTGCTTATAATATAGAACATTTTTTTTTTTTTTTTGAGACAGGGTCTCATTAAGTTGCTTAGGTCCTCATTAAGTTGCTGAGGCTGGCCTTGAAGTTGCAATCCTCCTGTTTCAACCTCTTGAGTTGCTGGGATTACAGGCATGTACTGCATGCACCTATTATATTTTTGATATAGATTTCCCTAAGTTGTCAAGGCCGACCTTGAATTTGGCAATCTCTGGCCTCAGCCTCCTGAGTAGGTGGCATTAAGAGATATTTTAAATTTTTAGGAGAAGTTAGGGGAAAAAATATCCTCTCAAAATTTGGAGGTTTCTGGAGAACTGGGGTTGTGGCTCAGCAGTAGAGTGCTTGCCTAGCACATGCGAAGCTCTGGGTTCGATCCTCAGCACCACATAAAATTAAATAAAAATAAAGGTATTGTGTCCAAATACAACTTAAAAAAAAAAGTTGGAGGTTTCTGAATTCAGTGTTCCCCTGGAAAATAGAAATGTCATACATCTCCATCAGTTGGAGTTAGGTAGAGGCACCTTTTTACACAGGGCATGTGTTTGCTAGTTTGTCAGCGACTCCATCAGTTCAACATCATTGGAAGTGTTAGCCTGGCTGTTGTAAACAGGTGAGTTTGCAAGTGTTGCCTAGGTGCATAACCCATTTCACTGATGGTTTAAGGAAGGGAGCCAACTTGCCCAAGGTCACATACCAAGTAAGTGGAAGAACTATTAACGTGAGTTTGTCTCTTAAGTCACTGCTATTATCATGACAATTCATTTTCTACAACAGTGGCAAGCAAAGAGTTGTGTATCTTCTCAGAATATATGTTCTCAATTTTTGAACTGGCGGTCACAATAAGACATGTCTGAGTCAGCATATTTAAGAGTGAGGAATGGAAGGTGACTGGAAAGAGAAGTAGATTATATGCATCAAGAGGACAGTTGTTGAGTGGATGAGATGGTAGCATACTGTAGAGGCTTTGAAGATCAGAAAACCTGGGTTCAAGTCCTCTCTTATAACAAGCTCTTTGACCTTCAGCTTTTGGTCTTAGGTTCCACATCTGCAAAATGGAGGAAAGAGTGTGTTACTAAATCTTTTTCTCTTTTTTTTCCTCTTTCTGGCCAAGGCTATCCTTGAATCTGTGATCCTCCCGTCTTGAGCTTCCTAAATTGCTTGTATTATAGGTATATGCCACCATGCCTGGCTTTTTACATATTTTGTGCATAATTTTTGTAGGATTGATTCCCAGAAGGGGAATTGCTACATGAGAGAGCATGAATCATAATAACTGATATTCTTTAAGTGGTGACTATGTGCCAGGTATTGTTTTAAGCACTTTTCATATAATCGAGCCATAAATAAGCTGTAGTCACAGGGGCGGGCCCTAGCATGGTTAAAGATTAAACACATAAATATGAGTTTTATTGTTGACAGCAGTTGAATTAAAAAGGAAAACAACTCCAGAGAAGTTGGTTTGTGGAGCCATATAGGAATGTAGGCTTTGGAAATGCTATGTGGCTACATGAGATGTGTTGTCAGAGGCATTTAAAAACATTCTTTGCTGGAAAAGTTCAGGAGAGGATGCTCACCCCACTCAGCCATAATTAGAAAGGACTTTTGGAGAAAATGACATTCAAGTTGGGTTTTGAAGTCTTGGGAAAAGCTGGACTAGTTAGAGGAAGACAGCATGCATTTCAGGAGTGTGGAATGTGATTTAAAGTCTGAACATGGGCACACACCTCTAATCCCAGCTGCTTGGGAGGCTGAGATGGGGGGATTGTACGTTCAAGGCCAGCCTGGGCAACATGGTGAAACCCTGTCTCAAGAAAAGGAAAGAACATAAAGCCTGAAGGTGGAAAACTGGAGGCATGCCTGGGAGTGAGTAATGTAGAAATAGTAGGAAATAAGGGTGGTAAAGTAGGATAGAGCCAATACTAAGTGGCTTTAAATGCCAGCTTTAGTTTTTAGTGTTTTTTTTTTCTTTTTTCCTGTCAAATTTTTAAAAATCTGGACCCTTTTATGTAAGTAAGGCAATGGATCCTGAGAAGAAGTTATTATATTCATGTAACTTGTGCATGTGTTATATATGTCAGGTAAGGATGCTTTGGCACTCACATTTACAGGTTGTCAATGAAATTAAATGACATGAATTGAGAATTAGTAACCCCATTTTACTGATTGTATAGTTTTCTGGGTCACCCAGTTAGGTAGTGGCAAATCCAGAATTCAAACTCCTGTTTTCACACTCAGAGGACATTAATGATTGGAAGTGCCCATTGCTGAAAAAACACTAGGGGAAACAAGAGCCTGAGGGGGAAAAATTAGTGGATTTGGAGATTAGGAAGCCATAGGTAAAGTTTGTAACTACAGATTCCCAATGGAAAGGTGGATCATTGGTAACTATTTTTTTTTTTAAAATATATTATTTTAGTTGTAGATGGGCACAATACGTTTATTTATTTTTATGTGGTGCCACGGATTGAACCCAGTGCTTCATGCATGCTTTGCAAGTGTTCTACCACTGAGCCACAACCCCCGCCCATGCTAACTATTTTTGAGATACCAAAGTGCCAAATAGGACAAGATCCAGTCACTCAGCCTGAAAGGGAACTTGGAAGCTACAACTTAAGGTGCGCTGTGGCAGGGTCAGCTGAGCTAGTATGTCTTATCTGTGATCTGGAGGGTTCAACTAAATCCAGAGGTTGTAATTAATCTTTCTGATGTCAATTTTTTTTTTTCTTATACTGGGGATGGAACCAGGGGTACTCTACTACTGAGCTACATCTCTAGCACTTTTGATTTTTTAAAAAATTTTTAGTTGTCGGTGGACACAGTAATTTTATTTATTTATATGTGGTGCTGAGGATTGAACCCAGTGTCTCACACGTGGTAGGCAAGCGCTCTTGCACTGTGCTACAACCCCAGCCCCACACTTTTGATTTTGATACAAGATCTTACTAAATTGCTGAGGCTGGCCTTAAACTTGTTGGGAGTTGCTGGGATTACAGGTGTGCTGCACTCATCAGGCTTCAGCTACTGCTTTTATTAGACTCCTAGTTAATTGCATGCAGGTGTCTAAAATTATTGGAGTCATTTTCGCAAAAAAACTTTCACATGTTTTCCCCAATATACTGGTACTTTTAGAGAATTGACTTTTTATATAAATCAGTAGTAAACTCATTGGCCAATAGCAGTCAAGTTTAATTTTGTTACTGGGGATGGAACCCAGGGTCACTTGACCACTGAATTACATCCATCTCCAGCCCACCCACCTTTTTTTTTTTTAATATTTATTTTTTAATTGTAGTTGGTCACAGTATCTTTATTTATTTTTATGTGATGCTGAGGATCAAACCCAGGGCCTCGCACGTGCTAGGTGAGCACTCTATGCTGAGCCACAATCCCAGCCCCTGACCCATCTTTTTTAAAATTGTTTAATTTTTTAAAATTGGAGTCTTGTTAATTTGCTTGTAGCCTCCCTAAGTTGCTGAGGCTAGCCTTGAACTTGTGGTCCTCTTGCTTCAGCCTATTGAGTTGCTGGGAATATAGGTATATGACAAGAAGTTGAGTTTATTTGAGACTATTTTAAATTCTTCTTTCCAATCCTCAACCCTCATTCTTGGGATTGGATCCAGTGGCTCTCTAGTGCTGACCTATATCCCCATCTATTTTTATTTTTGAGACAGAGTCTTGCTTAGTGGTCAAGGCTGGCCTCAAATTTGTGATACTCCTGCTTCAGCTTCCTGAGTTACTGGGATTGTAGGTATACACCATTGTGCCCGGCAGCTGGAAAGGGTTTTTTTAAAAAATTCTCCATCATGCTTGATTTTTGTCACTTTTTTTTATATTTATTTTTTAGTTTTAGGTAGTCACAATATCTTTTTTTTTTTTTAAAGAGAAAGTGACAGTGAGAGAGAATTTTTTTTTTTTTTAATATTTTTTTTTTAGTTTTCGGCAGACACAACATCTTTGTTTGTATGTGGTGCTGAGGATTGAACCCCATCCCTAGCCCTTTTTTTTTTTTTTTAATGTGATGCCTCATGCATGCTCGGTAAGCACTCTTAACACTGAGCCACAACCCCAGCCCAGTTTTTGTCACTTTTTGATATATTATGTATTTGTTTATCTAACTCCTCCTCCAGGAAGCAAGAATTTTCTTATTCACACTATGTTTCCAAATTCTCTGTGCCTGGCATAGTAAGTGCTCAGTAAATATTTCTTTCTTTCTTTTTTTTTTTTTTAACTTTTTATTCTATCACCAATAGAGTAATTAGCAATTCTTTTGAATGAATTTTTCTATGCAGGATGGGTTGGAACCTGTGTGTTTTCTATATTTGAGGCTGTGGAACTATGGTGTATTTAATTAGAATCAAAATTACTTCCCTGTATTTTGTTCTATGATTCGTAATCTCCTCTCTTCTTTTTTTTTTTTTTTTTAAAGAGAGAGAGAGAGAGAATTTTTTAATATTTATTTTTCAGTTTTCGGCGGACACAACATCTTTGTATGTGGTGCTGAGGATCGAACCCGGGCCGCACGCATGCCAGGCGAGCGCGCTACCGCTTGAGCCACATCCCCAGCCCCATAATCTCCTCTCTTCTATATTAGGAGGTTAACAGTTTCTGCTTTACAGGCTGCGGGCCTCCCGGGTGCTTCTTGTTGGCATGAAAGGACTCGGGGCTGAAATTGCCAAGAATCTCATTCTGGCAGGAGTTAAAGGACTGACCATGCTGGATCATGAACAGGTACGCTGTTATCACCTTATAACTGCCCTTTTGTATCTATCCTCTTCAGTATGAAGATTTTATGAATGCCTATATATGTTGTGAAAGGATGGGTAGTGTTAGTGGAACTCTAGTCTTTGGAAACTGAAGGTACTAGTGCTGGGTTTGAATTCTAGATCCACCCAGAGGAGATAGATTACCTCACTGAGCCTGCCATCTGTAAAATGGAGTTAATAGCATTTCCCTTGGAGGAATAGAGAAGTAGTTTTCCAATCTATGCCTAAAAACCACCTGGATAACTAAATGAAGTTGCCTGGAGCCTTTGTGGTAGTATAAAGCTTTTACCCTCAGTGATTCTGGTTTAGAAGATCTTGGATAAGGCTCAGGAACATATACATTTAAAGATGTCTGAGAGCTGGGAGTTTTGGTGCACACCTGTAACCCTAGTGTTTGGGAAGCTGAGGCAGAAGGATTGCAAGTTTGAGGCCAATTTCAGCTGTCTGGAAATAAAAAATTTTAGAAAGTGGGGGCTTGGGGATGTAGCTCAGAGGTAGAGTGCTTGCCCAACATGAGTAAGGCCCTCGGTTCAATCCGTAGGACTGGGGAAAAAAGAAAAAAGAGAGAAAGAAATAGGGAGAGCCGTGGATGTAGCTCAGTGTAGAGTGTCCCTGAGTTCAATCCCCATTCCACCCCCCCTCCCCAAAAGAAAAGAAATAAATAAATAAAAGACAGATGGGTCAGGAGATTTTGTTGTAGAATCTCCACAAATATTACTTTGAAAAACATACTAGTTGGGTGAGGTGGTACATGCCTGTAATCTAAGGCAGGAGGATCACAGGTCAAGGCCAACCTTAGCAACTTAGTGATGACCCTGTCTCAAAATAGAAGAAACTGGAAATGTAGCTCAGAGGTAAACCACCCCGGGTTCAATTTTCAGTACCAAAGGGGAAAAAAGCAAAAAAGAAAAACATCGAATCAGAGCAAATATATGTGGGCTGTTTAGCAGAGATACACAGTAAGCATCTAATAAATAATTATATGACAGTGCTGTTGAATAATATAATGGTAGCACCCAACTCTAGTGTAGTTTGTTCTGACCTGTCTTGTCTTGTCTTTTCTTTTTTTTTTTTTTGGTACTAGGGATTAAACTCGGAGGTATCTAACTACTGAGCTACATCCCCAGTCCTTTTTATTTTTTATTTTAAGGCCAGTGTCTCACTAAGTTGCTGAGGCTGGCCTCGAACTTGGAATCCTCCAGCTCAGCTCCTAAGTTTTTGGGATTACAGGCGGGAACCACTGCACCTGGGAGCAAAATACTTGGAAGACTGTATTATTACACTGTATTATTTGTGACTTTCTTTTCTTTTGGGCAATGAACAGAATCCTGTCTTACACTAGGTAACTAGCATGAAGTCCAGGCTCTTTAGACAAAAGTAAATTAAAAAAAATATTTATTTTTTAGTTGTAATTGGACATAATACCTTCATTTTATCTATTTATTTTTATGTGGTACTGAGGATTGAACCCAGGACCCTGCACATGCTAAGCGAGCGCTGTACTTCTGAGCTGTAACCCCAGCCCTAGACAAAAGTAAATGTTACTGAGAATTTTTATTTATATATTTTCCTAGCCACTAGACTAAGAGAAAAACAGTGAAAAATTTAAAAGCCGATCTTATGTGAGTATTCAGGAATACCTGGAATTAGTTTTTAGAAATTGTACTATAAAGTGAAGAGAAACATAGGTTGGCTCACTTAATATTACAGCCACAGATTGGTTTTTGAATTAAATTTATCTGCCTGTATTAATTTATTTATTTTGGCACTGGGGATTGAACCCAGGGACGCTCAACCACTGAACCACATTCCCAGCCCTTTTTTTAAAATATTTTTTTACTTATTGATAGACCTTCATTCATTCATTCATTCATTCATTCATTCATTCATATGTGGTGCTGAGAATCTAACCCGGTGCCTCACACATGCCAGGCAAGTGTACTTCCAGTGAGTCCCAGCCCCAGCACCCCTCTCCAGTCTTTTAAAAATTTTATTTAGAGAAAAGGTCTTGCTGAGTTACTTGCTAAATTGCTGGGGTTGGTTTTGAATTCACCATCTTCCTGCCTCAGCCTCCCAAGCTGATGGGATTACTGGCATGGTGCCCAGCGTTTTTGAATTTAATTTAAAAATCCTAAGGAAAAAAATTCCTGCAAGGAAGGTGCCAGAAGTGGGCAGGGGATAAGAAACAGAATTATTTCCCCAACTATGCTGCCCTCTAGAGGCTGAAGCACCTTGTCCTGAGGAAGACTGCTGTGTATAGAGAGGATAAAAGCTGACACCTAAGGAAGGATACTACCTAACAGTAGAAGTCCTGGGCATGGGAAAATGAAACCACTTGGACACAGTAACTTCCTCATCTGGTTTAGGGATTTAGAATGGGGTGCGTAATGATATATTGAGAGGTGTGGGGTGTGGTTCTGATACCATATCAGGACAGTGTTGAAATGTACAGACTTATTGACATCCTTTACCTCTTTGCTTGGAGTGTTGTGGGGCCTTCCACCTGCCTAACCACCTGGTGGTTCTCATCCATATGTACTTGAGAGTACCTGAGGAGTTACTTAAAAATAAAGTTCTTCGGGTTGGGATTGTGGATCAGCGGTAGAGCACTCTCCTTGCATGTGCGGGACCTGGGTTCAATCCCCAGCACCACGTAAAAATAAATAAGTGAAATAAAGGTATTGTGCCCAACTACAACTCAAAAATAAACATTTAAAAAATAAAAATAAAGTTCTTTAGGTGAATCTAATAGTCATGGTGGGTTAACAGCCACTGACTTCATATATCTTGTTCTTAACTTACCAAGCCAGACTCCCATCAGATAAAATTTTTTTCTTCTAGTACTAGGAATTAACCCAGGGATGCTCTGCCATTGAGCTACATCCCTAGCTCTTTTTATTTCAGTTTTCATTTTGAAAAAAGGTCTCACTGACTTGCCAAAGCTGGCCTCAGACTTGCAGTACTCCTGCCTCAGCCTCCTGGAAGGAGTGGGCACTGTGTCTTTCTTAATCAGATAAATTTATAAATTCATGAACACATCATGGTTGTTTACCCTTCTGCTGCGGGACCTCTTCCTTGTTTTCATTATTTAAGCTCCACGCATATACTTTTTTTTTTTTTTTTTAATATTTATTTTTTAGTTATTCGGCGGACCCAACATCTTTGTTTGTATGTGGTGCTGAGGATCGAACCTTGGCCGCACGCATGCCAGGTGAGCACGCTACCGCTTGAGCCACATCCCCAGCCCATCTATGCATATACTTCTACTACCAAAGTATATTTATCACATCCATGTGCTTCTTGCTGTCTCTGTTATCACTAAGAACACCCCAAGGAGGCAGTACTGCAAAATGCAAAGGCTTTGGAATCATGTAGAAAGGTTCAAGTCAATATCTCAGACTCAGTTTCTTCATCTCTAAAATGCCCTTAGAACTCCCCCCCCCCCATGTAAGCAGCAAAGAGGTGTTTATTGCGAGCTAGCTCCGACCTCCACGCCCACACAGCAACAGGTGACGCTGAGAGGCCCCGAGCCCAGGGTTTGCAGCAGTTTTATACATTCTTTGGAGAAGGCAGGGACTCCCGCATACATCATAGCATCTCTTAGCAAATCATCACACACCATGGGAAAATAAAATAACAACTCTAAAACATGATTAGTGTATCAGGTGGCGGGAAAGAATCTGGAAAGACGGCTGGGGATGTGGCTCAAGCGGTAGCGCGCTCGCCTGGCATGCGTGCGGCCCGGGTTCGATCCTCAGCACCACATACAAACAAAGATGTTGTGTCCGCCGAAAACTAAAAAATAAATATTAAAATTCTCTCTCTCTCTCTCTCTCTCTCTTTAAAAAATAAAAAGAATCTGAAAAGAATTATTGGTTAGTTCAAGGGGTTGACAGAACTTTTTAGTTTATAAGATTGATAAGCATCTGATGAGAGTATCTGCTCAGTACCATGAAGTCCGCTAGGTGCTGGCAAGAGAAAAATGCTCACAGTTTAATTCTCGTTCTCAAATTTTTTCCAAAAAACCTGGACTTAGATGGTAGTAGTAGGACATGAAAGGTCTCCTGGAGTTCCAATCTAAGTTTTAAAGAACAAGGAAGGGGTTTATCAAGTTGATGGGTTTTTAGGCAGAGAACATTAAAGTGGCATAGAAGTGTCTGACAGCATCTTAGAAATGGAATGTAACAAGCATTTTGGTGTTTTTAGAGTACAAGATCCAAAGTGGTAGCAAGCAGGGGCAGATCACATGTAAAGTTCATGTCAGAAAGTCCTGCTGGGAAGCCCAACTCAAACTTTTACTCAGTTCCCCAGGTGCTGTGGATTCATTAGCTTCAGATGTAAAGAGAACTTAACCTGGTTGGCTTTAGGCTTCGTCACAAATAAAAATACAAATACTTTTTTTGGGGGGGTGGGTACCGGGGATTGAACATGGGGGCATTAAACCACTGAGCCACATCCCCAGCCCTGTTTTGTATTTTATTTAGAGAGAGGGTCTCACTGAGTTGCTGGCTTTTTTTTTTTTAATAAACACAATACCTTTATTTTATTTAATTGTTTTTAAGTGGTGCTGAGAATTGAACCCAGTGCCTCACACATGCTAGGCAAGTGCTCTACCACTGAGCTACAACCCCAGCCCGAGTTTCTGGCTTTGAACTGGAAATCCTCCTGCCTCAGCCTCCCAAGCCTTTGGGATTACAGGCATGCGCCATCACACTTGGCAAAATAGACATTATTCAGGTAGATCACTAATTTAGATCTAGAACAATCTGGGTAGAACTATGATTAGCACAGGGTACAGGGAAGATAACTTACAAGGCTTTTTTAGTAGTGTAGGTGAGAGGCACAAGGGATTTGAGTAAAGACCTTGATAATAGAGATAATAGAGATGGTTTATGGAACTATATACAGAGTGAAAAGATGAATGGTTTTGAGATGAAAACTTAGGGGCAAATAGGGACAGGAAAAAAAGGGAAGGAAGAAGAGGGTCTGAGAGGACAGGGGACAAGTAGAAAGTTGCAAGCAAGTTGTGCTCTTTGGACTGACAGTAATAATGACTGGCACTGATGGAGGAATTAATGAGTTTTATGTTTTTTTATTAACATCTTCATTTTACTTGTGAATCTCACATACTTTTCTCAAGGTCATACAGTAAGTTGTTGAACCAGGATTTGAATTAAAGGTTTTAACGCAACCTGAATTATTCCAGAGTCTTTGCTCTTAACCACTGTGATATCTAGTCTCTCAGTATAGAGATCTCTGAAGAAAGAGGAGGGGATGGGTCAAAGATACTGTTAGAGGGTTGATCTGGAGTGGGAGGAGGGCCAGTTCATTTTCTTGGAGGAAAGACAGTAAGGAAGTGTGTGTACCTGGATACTTAGTAGGAGGAGATGAAGGGAGATTACTTCTGTTGAACCTAGTCTCAATGAAGATGGCGAAGTCATTTGCAGAGATTAAGAGTTCAGTTAGATGTTTGTGGTGTGTGAAAAAATGCTTTGTGAGCTGTATGGAATCTGTAATCCCTCTGGCTATCAGGGAGTTACAGTATTCTATATTTGAAGCTCTACTGTGCTGACATCCAGCCGTATGGTAAAATTCCTCTGCTCTAGTCCCCACTCATCTTTCCTCCTGAGTTTGAATTGAATTTAAAAGTTCATTTTAAGTATTCTTAATTGTGTCTGGTTTTTGCATTGTTTTTAAATCCCTTGTAGACAGGGACTGCATCCTTTAAACTACCTAATGTTTCCATGAATGCTTAAGGTTGGGCACATGATAGGTACTTAGTCAATTCTTACCATTGGTAATTGTTACAGTGGTTATAAATTTAAGCAGATTTAAGTGGAAAAAAGCATGGAGTTCCTGAGTGAATTTCCCTTATGAACACAAGGGGGTGCTATTTAACCATCAATGACCAATTAAAAACCATTAAAATGTCCTATTTAAATCTCGGAAGGAGTCCCAGTGATGAGTTGCCATGCTAATACTGAGCCACCAGGTAGGGCAGTATTGCCCTGGTCTGGGTGCCAATGAATTTAACAAAACTTCTCAAATGGAGACCTGAGGGACATGTTAAAAAAAATATTTAAAAATATAAAAAGAAAAATAATTTCAGAAGGAATTAAGAGTAGGGACTCTGCATTATGCTGATTATTATAGGAGCCGTACAATTTGATGGTAAGTATTTTAGCTGTTGTCTTAAATCAGTTCACTGTCTTTGAGATTTGTTTTCAAGGAAAATTCAAGCATTAAGAAAAAATATTTATTCCCAGGTATCTCCAGAAGATCCCAGAGCTCAATTCCTGATTCGTACTGGGTCTGTTGGCCGAAATAGGGCTGAAGCCTCTTTGGAGCGAGCCCAGAATCTCAACCCCATGGTGGATGTGAAGGTGGACACTGAGGATATAGAGAAGAAACCTGAGTCATTTTTCACTCAGTTTGATGCTGTGAGTTTCTTAGTGTAAAGCCTGTGGGAATTAAGCAAATTTAAGCACTATTTACAGGTATTCTAGAGCGTTTGAATCTCAAATTCTGAGCTTTTTCCCAAGTAAATTTATAAGCTGTTCTGTTTAAGCTTAGTACCTTTCACGAGTGTGTTGCCAGTAGGTCCAATCTGTTGGACCTGCTGTGGCTGTTTGTGATGTTGCCGTCTGCTGGCTTCTCTGGGCATGTGTTTCCCTAGACCAGATTTCAGGATTGGTGTTCTGTCTTCTTTCTAGAATCTGCGTGTATCGCAAATATTTGCCCCTGAAAACTTAACAAGTTGTTGATTAATTTCTGTGGCATTTTATTGTTAGAAATACCAAACTGTAGCTTGTGTTTTGTCTTAGGAAAGAATACACCTGATCTTGATCTTGGTTTATGTCTGTCTTTTTTTTTGCTCATGGATATCTAGACAAAATCACCATAGTCATAAGCCAAATGAATCCTATCCAGCCTCATCTGCTTTCACTGCTGAATCTATCTATGCAGATGCAAGAGGATAAGTTAAAATCTATGTCGGGACTTTCAGACATAGTTCCGTGTACCTTGGGAAAACTTAACAATTCCAGGTAACCGAAATGATTACCTTACATAAAAGGTTAGAATTTGGCCTGGGTAGTTTGTTTTCCACACTGCTATATTTTATAGCTTGCATATATCTGTTCAGACATGGGCTCAGAATGTTGGATCATCTGTGCATTTGTCTTTTTTCCTTTTTTACCAATTCCTTCTATTTTGTAGTCGTAGGTAATATGATATCTTCCATTTGGACATAAGTCTTTTTAAAATTTTCTCATCCATAGTTCAGATTCGGTTTATTTCAGTTATCCCATAAACTTGGATGTAGAGAGATTTTTTTTTTTTTAGAACAGATGCATGAGGCCAGTGCTGTGTACCTGCACAGGGAGAGTGATTGTCTCTTTGGGCCTTGTTTGGCTGCTCCTGGCAGGGGTTGTAGTCACTTTTGACTCTGCAGGGTTCCGTTTAATCAATTGCTTGTGTGTGTCCTCTGTGGCTTTCTTACCTTTCAGATGTGATTTTTTTTTCCTTGGATAACTACATCTTTTGAAACACCAAAGGAACACATTTCTCTGAGCATTATTTCAGTTTCCAAGCAAAGAGTGTCTGTCAACTGAAAATGGCCTTGTGTTCAGGAGAAAGCATGTGCGATTTGGAAGTTGTCTTTTGATGGTGATCACAGAGCTTCTCCTGAAAAGATAGAGTTTTGTGCAGTAGAACTTGGCCATTTCCAATACCTATTTATTGGAAAACAACCCAGAGGATGCAGAGCACCGGTTTACTGCCTTAAGTCAGAGAAGGTCACTTGGTCTGTAACCTTTTCTTTTATTCTTACTTTCTGATAAAGTTTCTCCCAGCGAACTGTGGACAAATAATTCCAATGGGACTTGTTTATCTTTGTCTTAAAATATCAATCAAAAAAGGAAGCTGGAGGAGTCAACTTTAGCAAGATCTTGTCTCAAAATAAAAAAAAGTTTGGGGAGGTAGTTCAGAGACGAGTGCCCTGGGTTCTATCCCCATGGTGGGGGAAAAGTAAAAAAAGAGACAAAAACCCGCGTATTTGAAAATAACCTCTGGATCAATTAAAAATATTAGTTTTGGGTCTGGGATCGTAGCTTCCATGGTTCTCTAGCATGCGTGAGGCACTGGGTTTGAACCCTAGCACCACATAAAAATAAAGGCACACTGTCTGTTTACAGCTATGGAAAAATTAGTTGTATTTCTTTAAATGTTTATCTATTTATTTATTTATAGTTGTAGTTGGACACAATGCCTTTATTTTATTTATTTATTTTTATGTGGTGCTGAGGATCAAACCCAGGGCCTCGAAACATGCTAGATGAGTGCTCTACCGCTGAGCCACAACCCCAGCCCAGTTTTTCTTTTATCACATATTTAGATTTTAATAGATTTAGCTAATGGTTTAGAAATAACTTGGTAATTATCACTGTCTTTTTCATGAAAACAATGAAATGTGGTTTTTTTTTATGTTTGTGGATTAGGGGAAGCATTCCTTTTTTTTTTTTGGCAGTGCTGGGGATTGAACCCAACATCCCTGTGCATCGAGGCAAGCACTCTACCAACTGAGCTATATCCCCGAGTCCAGGGCAGATGTTTCCTAAATGGTTTTTCCTTTCTAGCTAAACACATTTCTTTTTGGTCATATAAAGTGACCATCACATAACTTACATTTTCTTTTTTTTTTTTAGTTGTTGATAGTCCTTTATTTATTTCACGTGTTGCTGAGAATTGAACCCAGTGCCTCACACATGCCAGGCAAGTGTGCTAGATGCTGAGCCCCAGCCCACATAACTTACATTTTCTATGCACTAAAACCTGCAGCTTCTCTTTTATATTCTAACCGTAGCACTCAAAGAACCTGTTGTACCAGTTTGAAACTGGCTTCAAACATGTCCTGAAAGACTGTTCATTAAGATTTATGTAGACATCAGGGCAATGAGTCACAGTTTGCGAAACTCACACCCAGACTTTCTTTTTGCAGGTATGCTTAACTTGCTGCTCTAGGGATGTCATAGTTAAAGTTGACCAGATCTGCCACAAAAACAGCATCAAGTTCTTCACAGGAGATGTTTTTGGCTACCATGGATATACATTTGCCAATCTTGGAGAGCATGAATTTGTAGAGTAAGTGTTGGAACAGAAAGAGAAAAAAGGTATTCTTAAAATTTAGTTTTATATACTGGTAGGAAAAAAGGAATGTAAGGGAAGTATTTTACTGTTACTACTCAAAATAGTCTGAAAGCAAGCCATTAACAATTATTAATGAACACAGTTGATTGTGAGTTCAGAATTAGAGGAGATACAGCCTCCGCACTCCAAAATGGTCTAATTTTAAAGCCTAAAGCAAGCAGAGTTCTGTGATAAGTACACCACTGGGTATTTGATTAGTCCAGTCTTTGTGTTGAACCCACATTTTCTGCATAGGGAAGGCTTGCTTGGATTGTAAACATTTGTACCCTAAACTGAGTACACATAGTTAGATGGGTTCTCTTGGAGGCACATTCAGCCAAAGTCTACCTTGGAAAAGCTCCAAGGTCCAGAGACAACTCTGGTGGAAAAAACAGACCTTATCCCTTATTTTGAACATTGAGGCTGCATATTTTGATAATTCTCACATGGTAGGATCTGCAACATTTTGAGTTTGTAGCTCTGGATGAAAGATGGCAGATGATATACAGTATTGTAAAAAACTGAGTTGGGTTTTTTGGACTAGTTACACACACACACACACACACACACACACGTACATCTGTGTGGCTTATTTGGTACATAGGCCACAAATTTTAACCACTTTCCCTTCCTCCCTTGCCAACTCCCTAAAGAGAGGCCCTGTGGGGTGGAGCTTCCTAGCAAGAGCCCAAGAACTTCTCTCTTTTGTTCAGCCTGTCAGGCAGGTTGCTAAACCTTCTCTGGTACGCAGATTTCTGGCCTATAAAATCCAAGTAGGGGAAAGACCAACACTCAAGATATCTCTAGCATTATATGATTTTAGGAATATACTTTGGCTGGGGATGGTGCTCAGTGGTAGAACACTTAACCTACCTACCTTTTCAAGGTTTTGGGTTCAATCTCCACTGGGGGGAAAAAAGGAAAGAAGAATAGAAAAAAGAGCCAGGTGCGGTGGTGCATGGCTATAATCCCAGGATCTTGGGAGGCTGAGGCAGGAGGATTGCGAGTTCAAAGCCAGCCTCAGCAAATCAAGGCACTAAGCAACTCAGTGGCTCAGTGGTTGAGTGCCCCTGAGTTCAAACCCCAGTCACTAGATACGTATATGTGCAAGTATGCATACACACGTGCATCTATCATGTACGTTTTATGTGGGAGTGGACATGCTGGGGATAGAACCCTAGGCCTGTACATGCAAGGCCTATGCTTCATAGCTTGAGCTACATCTCCAGTCTAGGAGGATACTTTTATGTGGTTTATGTTAGGAGCAAAAAAAAAAGAAAAAGGAAAAAAAACTATCTAGTTCCTTGGGTAGGTGTGTAATAAGTAGATAACGTCATAGTAGTGAAAAGCAGGTCACGAATCACTTTGACTTATTGGGAGCTTGTATGTTTTGGGCAGTGTGCTGAACAATTTATGCTATTTCTCTTCTCACAGTTGTGGTGTCAGGGATTGCTGTTCCTATCAGATAAATAAGTGGCAGAACTGAGATTTGAACCCTGGCCTGTCTGACCCCAAAGCTTTTGCTGTTACATACTCTGCGAACTGGTAACATTTTTTATTTTACTGACATGATTCACAGGGTAGACTCCCTTTGTCACCCTCTAGGGAGAAAACCAAAGTTGCCAAAGTTAGCCAAGGAGTAGAAGATGGACCTGATACCAAGAGAGCAAAACTTGATTCATCTGAGACAACTATGGTCAAAAAGGTACTTATAATGTGGGGGAGCAGAGGTTAGAGGCCATGGGGACTTTTAGAGGATCCCATGGGCCTTTTTACATTTGTAAATGAGAGAAATAAGCTCGGTTGAGCAGTCTTAAGGGGAAAGCCCATGCTTACTTACCCTTACACCATGTAATGGGATATGCTGCTGCTTAGTGCCAGATGGCTGTTGCCATGAGGAAATGTGGGTCCAGTTCCAGAGGTGAATGTTTTCCCCTCAGTACTGGGCATTGAACTCAAGGGTGCTATACCACTTGAGCTCTGTCCCCAGCCCTTTAAAAAAAAAAAAATTATGTATTTTTGGTTTTAGGTGGATACATTACTTTGTTTCTATGTGGTGCTGAGGATCAAATCCAGTGCCTCATGCATGCTTAGGGGAGCGCTCTACCACTGAGTCACAACCCCATCCCTGTCCCCAGCCCTTTTATTTTTTATTTTAACACAGTGATTCACCAGGGTGCTGGTTCAGCCTGAGCTTGTGAACCTTTTGCTACAGCCTCCTAGTAACTGGGATTACAGGTGTTCACTACCATGAAAAACCATGAAAAAAAAAAAAAGATCTAGTGATGTGACTGTGTGATTAAGAACTCCTGGGTTCGGGGCTGGGATTGTGGCTCAGGGGTAGAGCACAGGCGGGACCCGGGTTCAATCCTCAGCACTAGATAAAAATAAAGGCATTGTGTTGTGTCCATCTACACCTAAAAAATAAATGTTTAAAAAAAAAAAAAAAAAAACTCCTGGGTTCAGTACCTGGTACTTAAAAAAAAAAAAGTCAGAAATAGATTTTTGTATAGGGTACATACTCAATCTGCTTTGAATGCTATTCTGGTAAATACCATGGAGGTCAAACAACATGTCTGTGTGGCTTATTTGGTACATAGGCCACAGATTTTAACCTCTGATATATGGTTTTGAGCAGGAGCCATTACTTTTATACAAAAAAATTTTCTTTTCTACTGAGCTATAGCCCCATTTTTTCCCCCCTAAATTTTGAGACAGAGCCTCCCTAAATTGCCCAGGCTGCCTCAATCATTCCAGTAGCTAGGATCAAAGGTGTACCACCACCATGCTTGGCTGGCTTTTTTTTTTTTTTTTTTAAGTATTTATTTTTTTAGGTGTATTTGGACATAGTATCTTATTTATTTGTTCTTAATTGTAGTTGGACACAATACCTTTATTTCACTTATTTATTTTTATGTAGTGCTGAGGATCGAACCTAGGGTCCCGTATGTGCGAGGCAAGCCCTCTACTACTAAGCCACAACCCGGCCCCAATCTTTATTTTATTTATTTATTTTTATGTGGTGCTGAAGATGCCTCATATGTGCTAGGCAAGTACTCTACCGCTGAGCCACAATCCTAACCCCTTGGCTGTTTTTTTTTTTTTTTAAGTTTTTTTTCCTCTCTTCTTTCGCCAAAAACCTTTAATAAGAAAAACATTTAGTATTGACAGATGTTATCAGTTGTATAGATATATATGTGTGCAAATATGCATATAACGTGCATTTATCATGTATGTTGTATGTGGGGATGGACATGCTGGGGATAGAACCTGGGGCCTGTGCGCATGCAAGGCCAATGCTTCATCACTGAGCTACATCTCCCGTCTAGGAGGATACTTTTATGTGGTTTATGTTAGGAGCATAGCCTATGTTTGGATTTGGTGCAATAATTAGATTCCTTTTATTGAAAGGAATAGGAAAGAGATCAGAAGTCAATGGTTTCCGTAACTTGTGCTGGAATTTAAGAATAACAAGGGTATCATGGGATGGGGAGAGTGATTTGAAGTGGCCAGAATTGGTTTTGTTGGAGTGAGAGGAAAGATATGACCAAGCCCATATTTACTCTGCTTTGTAAATTTAAATGTTGAGAAAGAAAAAACAGCTGGTCAGAATGTCAAGTTAAAATTGCTCTAAAGGGGGGGATTCTAAAGAGTGCAGAAACCACAAAAGAGACTGCAGAAAACCGCAGAAGTGGAACTCTTAGAGGCTTCAGCAAGGCAGCGCTGGAGATTTTCTTTCTTTTGCTTTTTGTGTTTGTATTGGAATAGCTTGATGCTGTGCTTGTGATACAGAGGAATTATTAAGCCCTAATTTTAGTGTCTATTCACAGGACCATAATTATCCAAAGTGAACATTGGTGTTTTGGCCAAAGCTTGAGTCCTTTTCTTTCTTTCTTTTTTTTTTTTAAGACCCAGTCAAGCTTTATCTGCATAGCTCTGGGAGTTTGGTGGGGGAGATAAATTGTTAACACACTGAGGACTACAAAAGCAGCTTTGTGGGTGCTGTCAGTTTATAAATCACACCCTCTTACAAGTGAGACACTTGGCCTTGGTGTGAAAGGTTTAATGGCTTAAGGGCCTTCTCTGATTGAGGTGTGTCTTTTACATTCAGATGGAGAGAGCCTTTGCTTTGTTAGTCATTCACAGCTGGAAGTTTCCCTGGAGTCAGTTCTGATGGTGCCCACTGGTGTGGATCTGGAAACCTCTTTTGGGAGCCACTTTATCTCACTATGAGGAGAATGTGGGCAGCCTGTGCTTTCACTGGGGCCTTGGTGCACCATTCCTTAGCACTCCATGGTCAGAGCTTTTTGTGAAGCCTCTTCCTATGTGGGGTCAAATTTGAAGGTATGAAAATATTCCCCAGCTGACATTGTTAGTCAGCTGTTACACTTGGACAATTCAGGCTTAAATTCCAACCAAGAGCCCCTTAAGGTTGCAGGGCATTCAGTGCATTCCTGATGACAATCCCTGGGATTCCAAATCTTTTCATGGTGAGGCTTCACCAAGAGTGTTCTTCAAAGGCTGGGTTGAATTGGGTTTTGGCCTTTCCACCTTATAATAACATGCCTCCTTTATTTTGGCAGAGATACATTTGTGATTTTGAAGTACTCTTCGTAGTAAAAAATTCCTTGATTGAAATTCTACCCTTTTGCCTAAATTGTACAGAATAACTAGTTGGGTTATGCTCTGAGAATGCAGGATGGGGGTGGGGAAGCCACCACTTCCTGTTTCCTGTGAAAGGTTTCTGGTTAGAGTTCCCTTCCCCTCACCCCTTTTCCTAAGTTCAACCAAATGTTGTAAAGCCACTTTTGCTTCAAGGTACACCTTGTGCTCCTAAATTAGAAACTTAAAAAACAAAGAGGAAAAACAGTTTGTGGTTTTCACACCACCTAGGAAGATACTGGGCCTTTCTAGCACCTGTGCCATCATGATAAATAAGGCAGTAGGAAAATGCCTGGCCTGTTGAGGTGATCAGTTTGTTTGCTTCCTTTAGGGTGATTTCATCAGAATTAGGTGGTTGTCACAGGCCTGATATAGACAGTGATGTGCAGGAGATAAAGGAGAGAGTAAAGATGTGGTGGTGAGGAAGTGTCTGAAAAGGTTTCCCAGGGGAGTGTTTGAGTCAGCTTGTGAAGGACAAGTTTGCCAAGCATCAGAGCCTGGACTAGTATGCAGTCAAAGGAAATGAGATAAAAAAAATGACAGATGTAGGGGCAGAGTCACACTGGCTTTCCCCACTCCAAGACAGCCAGTTCTTTCTGTGAGTTAAACAATGTCTGTTGCATATAAGGCACTATATGGGTGCAGAAGCACAGTCCTGTTCTATCAGCCTACAGCTGATGGAGAAGCCAGAAATGGCCTGACCTGATACCTCAGCTGCAGAGGGAGGAAGAGATAGTAGAGAGCATAGACAGTGATCTGAGGGCACAGGCTGACAATTTTTAGGAAAACTGAAGTTTTATGAAGAGATAGGATAAAATATGTAAAAATTGACAACATTCTGAAAAAAAAAATTCAGATTAAAAGGCCACTGACCCACCTGTGTTGTTCACGTTTTGTTTTTTGAGTTGTTTGGGGCTTCTGGAGATGAGTTGTCTGCTCTTAAAATAGTAGGTGACTAATTTGGGCACTGTTAATACTCCTGATGAATTAGTTGAGAAATTTCACAGTTGAGGATTGATTCTAATTTATTTTTTAAATATTTGTTTATTTTTAGGTGTAGATGGACACAACACAATGCCTTTATTTTTTTATGTGGTGCTGAGGATTGAACCGGTCTGGTGCCTGCCCCCCCAATCCCGCCCGTGCTAGGCTAAGGCGAGCCAGCGCTTTACCCCTGAGCCACAATCCCAGCCCTCTAATTTATTTGTTTATTTATTTAGAGCAGTATTTAGGAATGAGGCCAGGAGATTACTACTTACGAGCTATATCCCTACCCTTTTTTCTTAAATTTTGTCTTCAGATAGGGTCTTGCTAAGTTATGCAGATTAGCCTTGAATTTGCAATCCTTGTCTCAGCCTTCAGAGTAGCTTTAACCAGCAAAAAAACAAGCATTTCTGTGTCTTCCTTTTGTTGGGGGAGGTAAAGAGAGGGTACTAGGGATATAGTCCAGGGACAGTTTACCAATGAGCTACTATTTATTTATTTATCTATGAGCCCTATTTATTTATCTATTTATTGGTACCAGGGATTGAACCTAGGAGCACCTAACCACTGACCCACATCCTTTTTATTTTTTATTTTGAGACAGGGTCTCACTATGTTGCTGAGGCTGACCTTGAACTTTTTTTCTTTTTAAATTTTTTTTGTTTGTTCTTTTTAGTTATGTGTAACAGTAGAATGTATTTTGACATTTTATATATACATGGAGTATGACTTCCCATACTTGTGGTTGTACATAATACGGAGTTACAATGATTGTGTATTTGTATTCGAACATAGAAAAGTTATGTCTGATTCATTCTACTGTCTTTCCTATTCCCATCCTCCCTCTCTTCATTCCCCTTTGTCTAATCCAATGAACTTCTATCCACTCCACTTATTGTGTGTTAGCATAGCATATCAGAATGGTCAGCCTTTGGGTTTTTTTGAGATTGGTTATTTCACTTAGCCTGATAGTCTCCAGTTCATCTATGGCCTTGAACTTTGGATCCTCCTATCTTAGCCTCCAGAGCTGCTGGGATTGCAGGTGTGTGCCACATCGCC